GCCGTATCTCAAAACTAAGTGAAATGCACGTAAGCTATGAGATTTCAGTCGATGTTGATAATCTGATACTCCTACTAATTTAGGTACAAATTGAACACAACAAATGCACAATGTCTTCTGATATAGTTAAAAATTGACCGAAAACATGGAAATCAATTTTTCTTTGAATAGGAAAGGTAGGAAACTTAATTAGAGCGAAATGAAAAAATTAAAATTTGTGAAAAACTCCGTTGGAATTTTGTAACTTCGTATAGAAAGGAAGTATAAAATATATCAGGAAATAATAGTCAATCAATTCCCGAACATTACGACAATGGCGCATCAGACTTAAATGAAAATGATTAAACAATATTTATGAAGGTCCTTTAGCAATACGTAAAAAAATTCGATGGACTGAATCAATTATGTATAAAAAAACGAAATAAATAAAATTATAACACATTTTATAACAATTTAGCCATAAGACACTGACCGGCAAAAAAACCGGCCACCCTGAAAATTTCGCAAAACGAAGCTTTAAAAATTATTAATTTAACTAGTGATCGTTATTTTATTAAAGAACCATTCACTATTGACATATAAGGTATAAATTAGCCAAAAAAGACGCCAATTAAACGCAGAATTAAATTTAATTTAACAAAACAACAGAAACAGAGCGACGAAAGACGTCTGTAAGAGTTAACGGAATTATTTTCACGTGAAAACGTTTATTAATTGCCACGATGAAAAACACTATTTACAACAACAGGCTCCTTTATTGTTTTTTTTTTTTTTAAGAAAATATGGTACTTGGTCTGTTTTTGTTATTTTGTTAAATTAAATTTAATTCTGCGTTTAATTGTCTTCTTCTTTGTGCTAATTTGTACATCATGTGTCAATAGTGAATGATCCTTTAATAAAATAACGATCACTAGTTGAATTAAGTTTTAAAGTGGTTTTGCGAAATTTTTCAGGGTGGCCGGTTTTTTTTACCGGTCAGTGTAGATGTTGAATGAATTAATACTGTGATTGTTTTGTGTTTTGTTACATTTTTTTCATTACAATGTGTTGCTAGTTTGCTTTTGTCTTAAATTTATTAACACGCAAGCCAAAATATTGGATATGGTGTAGCAGTGCAATAGTCACGTAAGTCAAAATTTCTTGTTTTCTATAACGAGTAGAAGGGTCTACTCTAAAGGAATAAAAACACGATTAATAATAGATTGACAATACGACTATAATGTATTTCGAAGCCATTGGTATTTAAGATACAAATAATATATAATAACTTGGGAATTTTAAATCATCATTACTCGAAACACGCTGGTTTTGAGTTACGTGAGTATTGCTCTCACAGTGCGATATAACCCAGAATAATTAAATAATCGAAGCCCAAGAACGAAATGATACATACAAATATTTGGGTTTCTGTCAATCCTCCCACATCAATCATACCAAAACGAAAACACGGTTGAAAGATCAATACCTAGCGAGATTAAAATTAATATTGAAGACACAGTTAAATGGGAAAAATTTAATGAAAGCAGTAAAAACATTCTGCGTTCCACTGCTAACATATTCTTTTGGAGTCATTAAATGGTCCAAAACTGATCTTGAAAATTTAAACATCGCAACAAGGAAAATCTTCACACAGTATAGAAGGCATCATCCAAAATCGTCGATTGAAAGATTCTCATTACCAAGACAGAACGGAGGAAGGGGTTTCCAGAACCTAGAAAACTTATATCAGAGACAAATCTCAGATCTAAAGAAGTAATTCTTGAAACGAGCAGAAAGAAATGAAATGTTTCGCACCATCACAAGAGCAGATTTGAACCACACACCCTTAAATCTGTCGAACACCGAAGAAATCCACACCCCCACACAATATACAAAATAAAAAATGGGCTAAAGCAAACACAACTACATGGAAAATTCTACAAAGACTTAGAAGAAACTCATGTCAACAAGAAGATGTCATTCATTTGGTTAAAAAAAAACAAGTTTGTATGCCGAAAGAGAAGGATTTGTGTTTGCTCTTCTAGACCAAGTAATCAATACCAAGAATTACAGAAAATACATCATCAAAGATCCGAATATAAGAAACGACTGCTGTCGCCTCTGCAAAGCAAAACCTGAAACGATCCAGCACATAATCTCCTCCTGCAGCATCCTGGCACAAACTGACTACAAAGCTAGGCACGACAACGCAGCCAAAATCATTCACAAAGAATTAGCAACACTTATGAACTTAATCGAAGATACGACACCCTATTACACTTACATTCCATCTCCGTTCCTTGAAAATAACAAATACAAATTATACTGGGATCGCACAATACTTACAGAGTTAAACATTACAGCTAACAGACCAGACATCATACTTATAAAAAAACACATGAACGAAGCCATTCTCATTGACATTGCTATTCCTAACACAAACAACATTATTCAAACATACCACACCAAGATTTCAAAATATCTACAATTATCTATAGAAATGAAATCCATGTTGAATCTTAAAAAAATTTCAATTCTACCCTTAGTTATCTCTAATGTAGGTGTAGTCCCAAATAGCTTAGTTGAGAATTTAAAGTCTTTGCATTTGAATGATTCAATAATTGTCAAAATTCAAAAAGCTGTTTTGTTAGGAACATGTCATATTGTTCGTAAGTTTCTCGAACAGTCTGATCATGTCAGTCAGATTAGATTAGCACCATTAAGTCAGAGTAGTGTAGGTCACTTTCCAAGTAATGTGCGGATCAATGATCGGTGGTTACGCTAGACTTTTGGGGATGGGGTGAGATTAGAGAATAATAGCAGACTAATTTGTATGCTGTAATTCTAAAATCTCGAAAGTTGTTTTGTTAATCTAATCAATGCACATCATCACTTGGTCTTAATACCTGTAATGATAGAAGTCTTGCCTGAATGCCGGTCATTTCCGGGTCAGTGGTGGGTCTTAATAAAATCTTGTTTTCTTAACCCCTTTGCAACTAGACTCGATGTTTCTTCTATTTTATTAATGCCTACATGTTGATTGAAACATTTGCCATTATTGTATTTACAGAATAAACGCCAACTTGAGGCATGGGGCGGCCGTAGAGCTCTATATTTTCGATATATAGTGAAACCTCCTCTAAAGGACACATCCCAACAGCGGACATCTCTCCACAGCACAATTTTCACTGTCCCAACGTATGAAATAGGTCTCTTAATGTAAAAAATCCTCCAAACAACGGAAATTCCCAACAGGGGACACGGACAGTAAAATTGGCGCATTTTTAGTTATTTTTTTTTGTAAAATTACCTCTTCACAACGGACGACGAACGTAAGAGTAGCAGGGGCGACGCCAATATCTATCTCCTTCGCACTCCAGCACGACCGCGCGCTGTGTCGCTGGGGCGGAGTACTATGGCGACACAATAATACGTAGTAGTAAGCGAGGAAAGATAAACTCCTCCGTAGTCTAGTGGTAAGGGCACCTGCCCGGCAAGCGGTAAACGTGCGGTTCGATTCCCACCGGAAAAGCAACATTTTTCTTTGCTGACCTACAATATAACAGCAATCTGAATGTACCCTCCGGATTTGAAAAAAAGGACGGTGACGTCAAAATTATTTAATTTATCAAAAAACTTAGTGGACCAGTTTTCTATTATTGCGAACGTACTTATTAAAGATTTTATGTTTTTTGCTTTCAGTATCTTAATACTATTTTCAAATGTGCAGAATATTGATTAAATAATTAAGGTACGGAAGACACATTAAAAACAAAATTATTCTTAGTCCGGTCCTTCACGTCTCGCCCGTCCCTAGCACGTGGCGTGGTTTACATTTACGAAGTTTTATGAAAGGTCGGCTGTAAAGTAGTTTAAACGTCAAAGCCATAAACGTCTTAAATCTTTGAGTCCAGTCTACCACTCTCAACTTATGCAGATGTACTCCTATAATGCACTGATAAGCATTAGAGTAGTTTCCATTAAGATAAAGTAGATTTCTACTTATCATAGGGATTTGGTTAATCAAGTTTTTGTAAACTATTGCGAAGATTTATTTATAGATAACCAAAAATGAACTAAAATTTATTTATTTTTTGCCAATTCATCCACTCCAGATAGTTGTCGTTCTAATGAAGAATGACCAACAATGATTTATAATAGTGTATAAAGTTAAAGTGAAAAATATATTTTTCCATCGAAAAGTTGATGAATTTTTCTCAAGAAAATTCAAAGTAAATCTTTCAAAAAATTTGGTTTAACATTAAGGCGGTGTTTGTTGTCCCTCAGACAAAAAAAATTCTATGAATTATATATTCTTAGTTTTATCTTTAAAGGCAGTTATCCTATTTCGAGAGAATAAGTGACTATCAAATTTAAATAGCGTTTACCATGCAAAATTTTGAAATGACGTCATCAAGCGGTTAATGGGGATTAAATCAGATCAATTTTAGTTAGCCTTCTACCATCTACATGATCCTCCTAAAATATGTATCGAATTTCACAGACACACTGGAACGAAACGTGTATCTTTTTTTACAGGACTAATATTTATGAAATATCAAATTTACCGCTTTAAAAGTCGCTGTTTCAGATACAAAGACATTGGATTTAAACATGTGAAAACTTTCTTATACTTGTACTAGATATTGATATGTCATAAAATATTTCACCTTAGAATTTACAGTTTGCTCTAAATTCATTACATTGCAGTTTAATTAGAAGGAACTAGCTGCTTGTGAGAAACAATCAGGGACACCTAGATACTCCAAAAACACTGAATGCTATTAAACATAATTTTATTATTCTTGCCGACAAAAGCATTATAAGTATACATGCAAAACAAATTAAAATTGCATTAATCATTATTCTGCTAAACGAACATATGACGTGTTCTGTTTGCAGTCACGCTATAATCGTACGGATAATGTGTTATCTTAGCGTCTATTTTTTAATCGTTATCAATCCGTAGTTGCTTCATTGTTTGTTTTTTTTTTTTTTAATTTTATCAGACACAGCAGAAAAACTGATTTAATTCATTTTTGTGACGGAACGATGTATCCTTGTAATAAGTGGTCATCTCCTACCCGTGCCAGCAGAGTTTATTATCTAATTTAGTAATTACCAGTCGCCTCAGTTCATCACACACTACCACGCGCAGAATCTGAACGAAAAAAACAGTCTCTCTCGCTACATGAAACAATTACCATCAGGTGATATTGTGGTATCATGAATCAACAATGACACAACATAAATAAACGAAATAAATAGTGGGTTTTAGCGCGGAACACGCAGTAAGTATGTACTAGAAGTACAGTGTAAAGCAAAATGTGGATAACTAGTTCAATTACTGGTGACTTGATCACCCTACTTATTACCCTATCGGTTATTCTGATTGGTTACTGCAAATGGACCTACCAGTACTGGCGACGAAGAAATCTACCATACCTGGAACCCAGCATACCTTTTGGTAACCTTGGTAACCCCCGTGGGTCCAGAAAACACATAGGAGAACGACTCGAACGTGTGTATAACGTCATGAAAGATAAAGGCTGGAAACATGGAGGAATCTACGGGATGCTGTCACCTATCTACGTCCCAATGGACTTAGATCTAGTTAAGAACATCATGACTAAAGACTTCCAGTATTTTCCAGACCGTGGGATTTACCATAACGAGAAAGGAGATCCTTTGTCGGCCCATTTGGTGAACATAGCTGGCGTTAAATGGAGAAATTTACGAACAAAACTTACCCCCACTTTCACGTCTGGAAAGATGAAGAGCATGTTCCAAACTCTCGTCGATTGTGAAGTTCACCTACACAAAAAAATCGAAACAGAGTGCCAAAGAAAAGCAGCTGTTGACATTAAAGAAGTTCTTGGATGTTTCACTACTGATATAATAGGGTCTTGTGCATTTGGTCTTGAATGTAACACATTTGAAGATGAGAATTCACCTTTTAGAATTTACGGACGTAAAGTTTTTGATCGATCGACTGAACTACAAGTAAAAAGAACTTTTGTTAATACTTTCCCTAATTTGTCGCACTTGTTTAACATCGCTTTAGTACCACGTGATATACATAACTTTTTCATGAAGCTGGTTAAAGATACGGTTAATTATAGAGAAAAGAACAAGGTCAACAGAAAAGATTTCATGCAGATGCTTATCGATATGAAGAATAATAAGTTAGCGGAGGAAGAAGGGTACAAACACGATGGTACTACTCTTTCAATGGACGAAATAGCAGCTCAAAGTTTTGTTTTCTTTATTGCTGGGTTTGAAACATCATCGACTACCATGACTTTCGCTCTGTATGAATTGGCCAAACACCAAGACGTTCAAGAGAAGCTTAGAAATGAAATTAGGTCAGTTTTGGCCAAGCACGATGGGAAAATTACTTATGATGCTATCCAAGAAATGAAGTATATGAACCAAGTGATTGATGGTACGATTATCACTATCAAACCAAACATGTAGCTAATATTTTTATTGTAGAGGCGCTAAGAATGTATCCACCTGTACCTCTTCTACCAAGAAAATGCATCAAGGATTATAGAGTTCCAGATACTGACGTCATCATCGAGAAGGGTACGATGGTTTTGATATCAGTATTGGGAATTCACCACGACGCCGAGTATTATCCTAATCCTGAAATATTCGATCCTGAGCGTTTCAGCGAAGAAAATAAAAGTGCGAGACACGGTTATGCACATCTCCCGTTTGGTGAAGGTCCTAGAAATTGCATAGGTATGACATGTTGTTTCCGTGAATTTATTTTTACGTGTTGTTTTGTAGGAATGCGTTTTGGGCTGATGCAGTCCAAAGTCGGGCTTACTTCGTTACTTAGAAATTTCAGGCTTACTTTGAATGAGAAAACTCAGGAACCTTTGAAAATGAAGACTAACTCTTTGGTGCTTGCGGCCAAAGGAGAGATCTGGTTAAATGTTCACAAAGTTTGAATTATATTTATTATAAAGTAATATCGCCACAGGAAAAAAATTAGTAAATAAACAACAACCGTCATTTTTGCATTTTTGTCTCCAAGATTCTGCAATGGAAATATTTGGGACGAGGTTTCTTTGTTCTTCAGCTTGCAGTATGCTTTTTGTCCTATCACGGCCACGACCGTGAGTTTGAGGTTGAAGGTACTATGATCTCGGAGATGCTGTACCACGTTGCTTATCAGTCCCTTTTTCGGTTATTATTCCAAGTCATTCTGTGCCATTGATTGGAAGAAGTTACGACGAAATTCCGATGTGGCGGACGGACGTTCCGGAATCTCGCCAATAGCGTGTGGTGGCGGCGTACCTGGGTGCCAAGGCTTGAGCCGACTAGTATCGCTGATATAAAAACAGGTCTGGCCGACCTAAGCTTATGCGGCGACCTTCACGCCGCCGGGGGTGGCGCCTTTGGTCAGGAGCGGCGGTCGCTCGGGTGCCAGCTCCTTCTCCGGGGGAGGGAGCGCCGGGGTTGCTCTCAAGCCGGAGACACGGATCTCAGGTGGTGAGGACCCGCGAAAACACAAGAATAATATAAAACTGCAAGGAATATCTTAAATGATAACAAGGGTTTATTCCCTGCCACCAGCTACACGGCCAAAATAATAAATCTTACGGCTAGTCTTAATTATTTACAGCAATAAAACAAAACAAAAATAATAACACGTCCAGCACGGTCGTTCCTCCTGGGCGGCGACTTCCTTCAGGACGGGCTCCTCCTAGACCTGGGGGCGGCGACCTTGAAACTTACTTCACGTACTCTTCTGTCATCACTTCACGTACACATCTGGCAATACTTCACGTTCTCATCTGTCACACCAGATGATACAAAATGAAAATAATCGTCGCCCAAAAAACATTATATTCAACTCAGCCAAGAAGAATCTTTTTTGGCCTCTTCTGAAACTTTAGTTCGGCCATGAAAGATCTCCTTCACGGCCTTGATACACAAATTATTATTATCTACGACATGTTAATAAAGTTACTCTTATATAACTCACAGGACGCTAAAAAAAAAATGAATGAATCAATTTATTTTATTGATCAAATCAAGAACGGCTCACTTCATCTTTTCGAAAATTAGGAAATACAATACTGTTATTATTAGTATTACATTGCATTGCCCAAATTGATAAATGTGTACTACCAAAAATGTTGATGACGTCATCAATTTGACATATACGCGTAGCACACTACTTTACATTTACTTTGATATTATATACATATATTTATTACAATTTATAGGGGCTCTTATAAAAAAAAAAAAATTCGAAAAATCTAATTTTATAATTTTTCGAAAATGCTGGATATGTTTCCTCGTATATATTTTTTGATTAATCTTAAGGAATGTCAGTGAGCCACTGCGTCTAAAAATGTGAAAGCACATCATATATTTATTTTTAAAAATTTCAAATTCTGCTAGTGTTAATAAAAAAATATGGAGCCCCTTTGCCAAGGAAAATGAACAACTAAGCTTAAATATCTCATTTAAAAAAACAAAACAACCGAAAATAGAATTATGCACATCTGATTCATAGAACCTTCGTTTCTTCGAGATAAGCAATCGGGAGGTCAGGATTGTAAGCTATCATCATAATCCCAAGCAATTGAATTTCCAATCAACACTTTTGCAAACAGGAAGTCATGCTGATTATCAAATAAGTTAATACATTATTTCTAAAGGTAGGGAAAACCGGGACAAAGAGGACTTCAGGGCATAGAGGACTTTGGAAGTATTTCATAAACATTTCAATTTTTCGCTTCAGAAAGCAGTTAAGGTTCACCTTAATTCCAATGTCCGTCGTTAGATGGCATATTTGGTAATAAAACACATAGTTTTGTTGTGTCAGCTGAAGTAACGTGTTTTTAAATAATGTATGGAAGTAATGAATTTGCTGAAAGCCTGCTCTATTTTCTAAGTAGCTATTTTTCAGTTATCGAATGCGTATAGAACTGGATTCATTTTGCCGTGGTATTTCATTTTAATTGCTTAATTATTTTAAGTTTAGGACTATGTTTTTACTTCCTCTCTGTTTTGGGGTATGGAAGACTTTTGTTTTTGGGCCATGGGGGACTCAAGTCAAGAAATGTAAATATTATGAAAAAATCAATAAAACAAAGAAGTGAACTACAAAATAAAACATTGCGGAAAAAAAGGCAAAAAAAGCAGACAGATAGTGACAGCGAAGGAAATGACACATGTTTGTTTTGCAACGAGCTATATACTAAAATTAAGCAAGGCGATGCTTGTGCAGGCATAGATGAAAATGATGACGAGTTTTATTTGTCAATTTTGTCAGTAGAGAAGTAGTTTACACTACGGTCCTGCATGCCCCTTACGTGGGGCATAGAGGCTTTTGCTCATGCTTGACCAAAAACGAAGTTTTCTCTAAGAATATCTATTATTTTTTTATTGTTTTGATGTTTCATGGTAAAGAAATAAATAATTTATTTATTTGTGTGTTTTTATCAAAATCTGTAAAAAAAATAATTTTTAAATAAAGAAAATGTCTTAGGGGGTCCTCACTGCCCCGGTCTCCCCTACCTGTAAACAGAGTTAATCACTTTATCAGTGTCATTAGTCCCTGGTCAACCTTCAACTACTTGCCATTGAGCTTAATCCCTATAAAAGTACCCGAGGTGAATTATTATTACATCACAAACTAGTAACCAATTCTACCTCCACAACCCCCACGCTCCCTCTAAAACCCCTATAAATTTGAAAAAAATTGCACATCGTATTCATAGTTTCATTCGTCGTCGAAAACACATCTTCGACTACCTCAAAAATGGAAAATTCCCTGAAATTGTATACTCCCACAAAACTCACCGACTCGTGGTGTTCAGTTTGCCACGACGCCGAGGTACCTCGTCGGGTAACTTTGTATTGTGCAAATCAGGGACCCATTTGCCACGACTGTTACGAAAAAATATGGAGACAACGTCCTCAAGCACCAGCCACAGAGACACTCAAATCCCAGTCACATCATCGGTGAGTAAAATATAGGATTGTTAGTTTCCGAACTAATCTTTTGGTTCAGTTTTGCCATGGAAAATTGCCTGGAATTACCTCCTCCCAGACAAATCATCGACGGCGACACGTGGTGCTCACTTTGCTGCGAAGCCGAGGTCCCTCATCGAGCAACCCTGGATTGTCCAAAATACGGACCCCTTTGCAGCCGCTGCTACCAAAATATCCTGGAGTTGTCTGAAGAATGCAACTAGATTGGAATTCAGTAACTGTTGCCGACTATTCGAAATGTCCCATAGTCTATTGTGTTTTCTTTGTCACAAAATTGTGTTTACTTAGTTCTATACTTACATATACGTAGTTTTTTTGTAAAAAAATGGGCAAAAACTAAAAAAAGGTCTGTCTTCTCCTGCACATGAAAGATAACGAACAAGTTAGTATTATTATTCTCTCTCTCTCTCTCTCTCTCTCTCTCTCTCTCTCTCTCTCTCTCTCTCTCTCTCTCTCTCTCTCTCTCTCTCTCTCTCTCTCTCTCTAGGATTTCTCTCTCTCCCTTTTTAAGATTTCTCTCTCTCTCTCTCGAAGACGTACCAAGAACAAAAGACCCCTAAGATAAATAAAATCAATATTGCAACACAAACAGCGAAAATATTGAATATTATTTTTAATATTTTGTTAAAAAGTTTTTAGCAAATAATAAGCCAACATTGGCATTGGGCAGATTACTTGAAGTTCATTCCTTTTTATTTCAGTTGTATCAAAATTTTCGGTTTTGTTGGTATCTATTAAACAACTAGTGAAATTGAGTTCTTCTGAATAATACAAGCATTCTAAGGCTTAAGCACCGTCTACCACGTCCTGTCTACAAAAAAGACACCGTAAAATCCCACTCTCCAATAGATATTTTTTATTTTCCCAGTTAAATTCGGATTATTCCACAATACTTCCCAATTTGTTCGTCAAGAAAAAGAGAAAAATAAATTTCATTTTCAATATGACATTTTTGATGACAAGAAAAGTTCTTTGTCATTTCCGATTTTACAAACGTAAATTTGTTTCAACGCCTGGAGTTCACAGAACACTCCTAGTTTTTTTGTAAGTGCATTTTGACAACACTGTATTACGTGCGAATTGTCAGCCGGAATGTTACGAGTTGTCTCCAGGCCAGCAGGTACACAAACTTTAAGCCGACGTCGTTATAGGGATTAAATTTTGGTTCCTGGTAATTTTGGTCATAAATTATAAGTAGAATTCAATGTACATATATATATACATCTGTTTTTAGAAATTTACAGATGGATATATTAAAGTTAGAAGCGTAGATAATAAAATATCGCAAAGAAAAAAATGTTCAATGTCAAATTACTCAATTGAGAAATAATTAAAGGAATCGATTTTGTATTAAAACGGTTTGCTGTTTCTCCTACACCATAAGAAATGAGTAATTATGATAATGCTAGCGCTACTCGCTTAATCTCCTTATGGCTACCTGAAGGTACTGGGAGGCAATTCGACCCTAACCCTTTTGCTGTTCGGTTATAATTTGTCCGTTTTGATTGTTCTGACGTTCTGACGTTCAGTGGAAGGTAACCATAATCATAGAATGGGATTTTAATGGTAAACAGAATTAAAAAGTAGACAGTCCTGTACTGTTGACGGTAGGTATACTATCCTCAAAGATATTTGGCGTTTATGACTTCACACCAATTTGACTCCCATTATAATTCAATAGGCCGTCACAACCGGATGTCTTAAACCCGCTCACCGATACCTACCTGAAAAGACCTTTTCTGGTAAAAGCACAGGGCAGGGCTGAGTTTTGCATTTACCGACAACTGCGCCTTTCGAGTTTTTTATTTTAAGTAAAAACAAAGTAACTTTGCACTCAATCATTTTTTATTACAGCACAACTATTTACTTATTAACTACTACTGCTTATTTATTGATCGAAATAGTCACTGTCATCATCACTCGACTCTTCTAAATTAATAATTAACGGTGTTATCAACCGTGCCCTGTACTGGTCTTCTTCTTTTGTGGAATGTCGTACACAATTGGCCCACATTTCGGCAGTTATTTTGGAAGCTTCTTCCCTAATTATGTCAATTGTTGCACTACTAAATTTTGGTGCCGTATTATTCCTTCTTATATTATTTTTCATTTGCGACCAGATTAGTTCGATGGGGTTAAATATACAATGGTACGGCGGAAGTGTGATGTAGAGAGCGGATTTCGGTCGGGCTAGACAAGGCCAAACTCGGTACGGCTCGTACGGGATGGGAATTCATTGCAGTTACGGGCTGCACTTCGTTTATTTGAGATTAGAATACCGCTGCTTCGTTGCACTCTGCTGTTAATTCCAGTTCTCATTTACTTAGCCGTTTGATTAATAAATCGTTAATTGTACTTATGGAATAAGTGATATTCAAATTCAGTGATTATCTATCACCCGCTACTGAGTCCCGGCGATCCAGCGCGTCCCCACCTATAATCGTGACGTAGCCCGACAGAAATCCGCTGTCTACTAATCACCCTAAATCCACGATCTCGCGCCATAGCATCTATTTTATATTGTTTCTCAAATTTTCGAGTGTGTAACACTTCTAATAATTGTGTCTTTGTGTAATTTTCTTCAAAGTATAAATCATGTTCCGTAAGGAAATTTTGAGATTTGAAAATTTTAACAAACAAAATTACTCTGAGTCCGGTCCTTCGCGTCTCGACCGTCCCTGGCACGTCGAAAAGGTCTTTTCAGGTAGGTCTCGGTGAGCGGGTTTAAGACATCCGGTTGTGACGGCCTATTGAATTATAATGGGAGTCAAATTGGTGTGAAGTCATAAACGCCAAATATCTTTGAGGATAGTATAAACAGCTTTCGAAGAACCCTTAATTAAACGGTTCGTTGAATCAGGAACTGCAAAACTTAATACTCTGAAATATTTCAGACGTTTTAGGCTTATTATAGGAATAGTAATTTTTTTATTCAAGTATGTCTGTTTAACCCCATGAAAAATTTGATGACGTCATCTCAAAATTTTGTCGAAAAAATCATACCTAAAATGTGCAAAATATTGGATACGTTTTACTTGTGAGTTTTCATTTAATTCATATTTTTTAGTTTTGCTTATGCAAGTGGTATTTTATTGATCAAATCAAAAACGACTTACTACATTTTGCCCAAAATTTGGAAATGTAATTCCAAAAAATGTGTCCTTATTAGTATTACATTGCCCTTGCAAAAACGTTGATGACGTCATCACAAAATTTTGTAAAGTAAAAATTCATTTGAAAGATACCCTATTTTACATTTACTTTAACATTACATACATATCTTATATTTCAAGTTATAGGTGTTCTCATAAAAAAATTAAATTCACAATATTAAATTTAATAATTTTTCGAAAATGTTGGGTATATAAGTCCTTTAGGGACTGGGGAAGTTCTGTCGAAACAACCTTCGACCAATTTTTTACAGAAGCGAAAAAATTAAATCTCAGCTGTCCCTTGTATTTTTTTATTAATCTTAAGCAATCTTAGGGGTCCCTTGTGTCATTATTTTTAATAACTTGAAAGAATTTCAGGGGCTGCTAGTGTGTGTACTTTCAAAGATTTTTAGAGAATCTCAGGGGCTCCTTTTATGTATTTTTTTAAAGAATGTGAAAGTATTTCAGGGGTCTCTTGTGTGTGTGTCTTTTTAAGCTTAAAGAATATCAAGCCTTTTTTGTCTTTTTTTATAAAAGTTGGAAGGAATGCCAGGGGTTTTTAGTATGTTTTTTTTAAGAATTTAAAAAAATCTCAAGGGCCCTTTTGACTCTTATTTGTCTTTTAAAAAATGTGAAACCATATCATACTATTTTTAAAAAGGAAATAGCCAACATCATAATCCAAAGCAATTCAGAGTTTCCAAAAAACACTTTTGCAAACAGAAGTTATGTTACTTTATCAAATAAGTTAATACAAGATTTCCAAAGATAGCTGGAAAAAGAGTTAATCATTTTATGGGTGTCATTAGTCCCTGGTCAACCTTCAACTACCTGCTATTGGTCTTCATTCCCCCACTATGTAACCAATTGCACCTGCACAACCCCCACGCTCCTTCTACAACCCCTATAAATATTGAAAAATTGGCACATCGCATTCATTGTTTTATTCGTCGGTCGTCGAGAACACCAGCCAGCTCAAAAATGGATAATTCCCTTCAATTATATATTCCCGCTAAACCGCTAAAAATACAGGGACAAGATCTTCAAGCAACACCACCTCATCATCGGTAAGTAAAACATGGGTTTTCTAGTTTCCGAAATAATTTTTTGGTTTAGTTCTAGAATGGAAAATTGCCTGGAATTTCCTCCTCCCAGGAAACTCACCGACAGCAACACGTGGTGCACACTTTGCTGCGACGCCGAGGTCCCTCATCGAGCAACCGTGCACTGCCCAAAATACGGACCTCTTTGCCGCCGCTGCTACCGGAATATCAAGGAGTTGTGGGAAGAATGTAAGGGGATTGGACGTCGGTAACTGTTGTGGATTATAGAAAAGTCCTATGTTCTATATAAAATTTTTGTTTACTTTTATGTACTTAGATATAGTTTTTTGTAAATAAATGGATAAAAACAAAAAAAAATTTCTTATCTTTCACATAATTTTATTTTAATGACAATGGGCGGAACTGCGAAGAGTTTACGGTTATAGTAAAAATAACGAACAAGTTTTGGTTATCATAATATTAAATAATCAAAGATGTACGAGGAACCAAAGACTAAGAAAAATAAAAATAAAATAAATACTGAAACACAAAGGAGCAAAAATATTGAATTTTATTTTTATTATTTTATTAACAGATTTTTAACAAATAATAAGCCAATATAGGGCAAATTAAGTGAAGTTCATCTATTTTTGACAGCATACTTTTTATTTCATTTTTATCTGTTTTTTCGGTTTTGTTGGTATCTTTTGAACAAGTAGTGAAACTGAATTCTTCTAAACCGTACCAGCTTTTTTGTTTAATATTAATCTGTAATTTTTCACTTCCCGAGCGTAAGCTACGGAAGTATAGTAATCGAGTCGAATTGCCACTTTCATATTTTCTCGACGTGTCATGACCTCTAGAATACGAAAAAGTTGTCTAGCGCCTTCGTCTGTCTATCTGTCTGGTTAAGTGGATCGAGCTTCGGGAACTGATGCCGATTATAGAAATGTCCTACGTTCAACTGCGTTTTCTTTATCATATTTTTTTTTACTTATTTACATACTTATATATATAGTTTTTTTTTAATAAATTGGCAAAAACAAAAAAAGTTTCTCTTCTCTTCCACATGAATTTATTTTAACTGCAATGGTCGGAACTGCCAAATATTGGGATTATAGTAAAGATAACGAACAAGTTATTGTTTTTATAA